ACCACGCCACATCCACGTAGTGTAAATAATGACACCTGAAGGCCCATTCACAATGCAAACGTAAACATAAGCATAGCGCATAGACATTAACATCAGTGACAGACTGAAGTATTCACAATGTCTAACATAAACGTGAGCTAAATAGGAGTTTGTATTGGCTGTGAGATATTCTGGTTTACTATTGGTTGGATGTGAGAATCGATTTCAAGGTATCGACTGTGTCCATGGCCCACACGGCATTATTCTATTATCGACTTCTCTCCAATTTCGATTCTCAATTTTCAGTCACCGTTCCGTGATTGGTACATTTCTTATGTATTACTTAAGCATACGCACAGACGCTTGAAGCTTGCAAGCTTTCAAGTTAACGTCTTGTGTGTTATGCTTATGCGAACGCATTGTGAATTAGGACTACTTCCATAAGCGGACTAACTTATGCAATGCTTATGTTTATGTTTGCATTGTGAATGGGCCTTTATGCAGGACTCACTCCCGCGGGCTTAAGTTCTCCGTTTTTGAAAGTTGCTCCAAGCCCCTTTGAGATCGAAAGTGCTACCGCGAAACAATAATAATGATCAATCAACTCTCCTTTTTAAACCTACTCAGAGTTAAATCTCAAAGTTGAAATTATGAACAACAAAAATATAAGTTTTTTTATATACAAAGTTTACTTTTTTCGATATGGTCGAGCGACCAGTGCTGGTGCTGAACCACTTGAAATGTAATGACCCACGTGTACAATTTCCCCAAGATTGGTAACCCATAACGCTCAGATTATCGGAAGGCTGATGTCTGACGCAGAGAAGAGGGTTCCGGCGAAACACGACTGATTGATAGGTTGCCTACGTCACAGGGTAAATGTCACGTTTCTTGGTTACATAAAATTTCCCATCTGTTCATTGACAAAAAGTGATTATTTTGGGCCCCCTTGAGTGCCCTCGACTGATTGATTTATGAATTAGTGTTTTTCGCCCGCGCCAACTGCTTAGGTTGTTAGTTCCGTAAGTGTAGTGCATGCTTTTATCGTGGGAGTTGGCGGTGATCGCCCCCTGCTGGATGAGTAGATCCGGTGCCGATCTACCAGTCGCTGGCGGAAATTTCTTCTGTCAGGTATCTCCCATCCGCGGGGCTTCGTCCGAGCTGGGACGACCTCTAAGCTGCCAACCCGTCTCCCGACAATTGCGCTAGTGTAGTGGATGTGTAAGGGGGTGAGCGTAGGACAAGGAAGGGGAAGGAGAGATCGCGCGCGTGGCCCATTTGCTAGAATAATGCT